GATTAAAATTGTTTAATTAAGTTGTGCCTAATTCATTAAATTATTTAATTATGTCATTGGACCTAATTAATTAAATTAAACAATTAAGTTATTGGGCCTAACTAATTAAATTTGTTTAATCAATTTATTGGGCATAATTGATTAAATTGTTTAATTAAGTTATTGGGCTTAATTGATTAATTTGTTTAATCAAGTTATTGGGTCTAATTGATTAAAATTGTTTAATCAAGTTATTGGGCCTAATTGATTAAATTTGCTTTAATCAAGTTATTGGGCCTAATTGATTAAATTATTTAATTAAGTTATTAGGCCTAATTGATTAAATTAAATAATTAAGTTAATTGGGCTTCTTAAAGACTTAATTAAATTGTTTATTCAAATTATTGGATTAATTTGCAATTACAAAATAGTTTTGTAATTAGGGTTTAAAATTAATCTAAGGCATAAATACCTTGCTATAGCCTCCAAATGAAATAAGAGAGAAAAGGTTGAAAAAGAAAGGAACGACAGATTAGAAACCTTTTTTTCTTGTTGTTCCTAGTGTGAAGAAAAATAGTTTTCATTCACTTGATTCCTTTTCAGCCCCATAATTTTGTGTGGATTATGAGTTTATGAAACTCATCTTTGCTAACCCATTGTTAAGGCATAGCACTCCCAATCCTTAAAAAAGGATTTTCTAATTCAATAGTGTGGATCATCATTAAAGGTTGCATAAAAATTCCTTGGACAGCTTTGGTTTGCAACAACCAGGCTAAAGTGGTTGAGCTTTTTGAAGGCAAATGGTTGGTTTAACAAAAGATTCATCAACTTTTGTTATTAAGGTAAATTTGATATAATCATACATATATATTTTATTTGTAATTTAATTATGTACTCCGTTCGGCATGAAAGAGATCCTAGGAAGGTGAGACGTAATTGAATCTTAAATTTATTTCCACTGCATTTATTTGTATTTGATGCATGATCAGCCCTAAGCCAACATGATTAGCCTTCGCACACCATCATCTTCTTTTATCAAACTTTCATCCAAAAAATCATCCTCTGCTGATTCTCTTTCAAGTATTTCTTCATATATTTGTTTTAGCTTTTCCCATATCTCTTAGGCATTTCCACAATTTTGTACTTCCTTGTTCACTCTTTCTGCAAGTGCATTATGAATGATATGTATGGCTTGGGCATTAGGTTTTATCAAGTCAAGATCATGTGAATTCCAATCAGCAATCACTTTCTCTATTTTCTATGTGCCATTCTCAATTTGCTCCCAAGGTTGATAATCTTTAATAATGATGAAGCTTAATTTTATTTCTCCAAATAAGGAAATCTTCACCATTAAAGTGTGGAGGCTCTAGAGCTGATGGTCTTTCTTCAAAAGTTATTTCATGGAAGTTGGTAGCAATTTCTTGGAGCTAACAACGATCACTCAAAAACGGTTAGACTTCCCAAAATTGAAACCATTCTTTGATACCAATTGCTTGAAATGTTATCTCAATTAATAAATGGCAAGAATATCCAAGTAAGGGATGAATTGTGTTGGATTTGGATCATGGTGTATGGTTGTGAATGTGTAACCTATGGATTTCAAAAATTTTCTAGCTATGGAAGCAATTTATCCAATTTACATAAACGAAAATTCACAATCATACAATATGTAAAGAAAAAACAATTGCATCAATAATGAAGAATCAAATAGTTAAAGATTTCACCTAATTTGTGCCAGGAACATATTTGATTCTTCTCTCCTAGTGCATTGTAGTAAATTCACCACCACACCAATTATTGAAAATCTCAACCAATTTGACTTATTACTTATTCTTCAAGAATATTTCAATCTCAAACCTAGAGTGGGCTAGGTATGAAATACTTTTCAAGATGGTAACTAGATAATTTTCTCTTAATTTCTTCTACAAAAATTTTTCTTTGCATAAGGCTTATAGAAAATTGCTAATAGGAGAAAAAACAAAAAAAAAAACTAAAGAGAAAGAGATACAGAGGAGCTTGTCAATCTAAAACAGGGTGGTTAGGGTTTGGGATAAAATCACATATTTATAATGTGATTTTCAGCCAATATTAAGGGAGTGTTATTTCTTTCATAAAACTCCTTTCCATTAATTTAAGTAATTAAAATTAAATTAATATTCA